ATTTAAATTATTATTATTAAGATTATTATTATTTATATTATTTTCAATTAAATTAAAATTATTTTGATTAATTAAAGGATTAATATTATTAAATAAATAATAATTAAATTTTAAATTTAATTTAGTAAAATATTTTAAATAATTTAAATAAATATTACCATCTTCTAAATTTTGATAAAAAGAATTAAAATCTAATAATTTAATATTTGATAAAATATTTAAAATTAAAATTTTAATTTTTTTTTGAGTTTTTGAATTTAATAATAATTTAATTAAAAATAAAATAATACCAGAATTATTATTAAAATCCATTGCTCTATTTATACCAACAGGTAAAATTAAAATTTGATAAAATTCTCTTAATAAATCATAACAATCACGTGATGTTAAATTTGGTTGAATTAATTTTTTAAATAATATATTTGGATATAATGATGTTATTTGTAATGGTTGAATATATTTTAATTTTTCTACATTTTGTTCATTTGAATGTAAAATTAAAAAAAAGTTTTGAATTAATTGATTACTATTATTAGAAATTGAATTATTATTAGATTGTGATGATAATTGTGATGATTTTTGTGAATATTTTGATGATTGTTGATTTGATTGTAATGGTGATGATGATGAATTTAATTGATTATGATGATGATTATAACTAGTTTTAGATGATGATGAGGATGGTGATGGACTCATTGCTGATGCAGTTGTTGTTTGTGATGTTTGTGATGTCAACAGGTTTTTATGATGAACAAATGATGATGGCATTTTTTAATATGTTGTTGATGATGATGAAAGAATGAATTAAAATCTTGTGTGATTCTTGATTATTAACAACACATCAATAAACAATTTTAAATAAAAAATGTCATCAACATCAACAACAACAATAAAAGATTCATATTTTAGGGAAGGAAATGTAATTGTAATAAGTGGTGCATCAAGTGGTATAGGAAGAGGATTAGCTTTACAATTAGCTAAATTTAAAACAAAGTAAATATTATTATATATTCATTCACACATTCATTATTAACATGATAATAATCTATTTAATAATAATAATATTATAATAATAATAGTATTGTATTAATAGCTAGAACTAAATCAGCACTTGAACAAGTATCAAAAGAATGTTTATTAAATGGTGCATTATCTACTCTTATTTTACCTTGTGATGTTACAAATGAAGATCAAGTAAAGTATGTTTTATTTTAATTATTATTAAAATTAATTTTATAATAATTTATAATAATTAATAATTTAAAAATTAATTTATAATAATTTAAATAATAATAATAATAATTAATATAATTTTAAAAATAATAATATTTTAAAGAAATTCAATTGAATTAATTAAAATTAAATATAAAGAAATTAATCAATTATTTTTATGTGCAGGTATAAGTGGTAGTATACCATTTATAGAAATAGAAGATATGAAAATCTTTGAACAAATGTTTCAAACCAATGTAATGGGATATATTTATTTAACAAAATATTTATTAAATATATTTAGTAATTCTAATAATAGTCATATTACTGTAATTAGTAGTATGTCAGGTATAATACCAATACCATTAAGAACAGCCTATTGTATGAGTAAATTTGCAGTTGAAGGATTTTTTAGAACATTAAGAAGTGAATTAAAAAATACACCAAAATATTCACATTTAACAATAACTTTAATATGTCCTGGTTGGGTTGATACTGAAATTAGAAAACATCATTTAACTGAACATCAAACAAATTATAATATTGATAATAATGGTAAAATGATGACCATTGATGAATGTGTTTTAAAAACTTTAAATGCTGTTAGAATGAAAAAATATACACAACGTTTCAAATTATTATATCAATTTGCTCCAATCATTTATGATATTGTACCTTCTATTATTGAAAATATGACTATTAAAAAGACTGGATATAAAGATTTAATTATTAATAATAATAATAAAAATATTAATAATAATAAAAATAATGGAAATAATAATGAGGAAACTGTTACAGTTAATAGAAAGTCAAAATTATAAGTTTTTTGAAAAGTAACAATAAAAACCACCTTTCCTAATTGTTCCAACAAGCTCATGACAGCTTTTTCTTGGTTTGGATTTGAAAATCCTTATCAGCTGATATTTTCTTGGTTTTCAATAACATTCTGTTGACTGAATGAAATTGTACTTTACCTTAAATCTTTTTCTTGATCTTTGGTTACAATTACATAATACCATTCAATGCACCATAGTTGGTCGTTCCAAAGTCTGCATGAAGAAACTTCTTTGGCATCAGATCGAGGATGAACAGGGAGATTGGAAATATCTTGATAGGGATAGGAACAAACAATGTTGAATTATTGCTTTCCGCTTGGAGGATATCTAACAATGTTTAAGTGAACTTTTGGAGAGGGCAATCTTAGAAATATTCTTGGTTTGATTGGGAAACAATGAGAGCATCACCAACTATATAATATCAGAAGAATTAATTGCATGTCATTAATGGGCAGTAACAATTTTTCTGTAATTCTATATGTACATAGCTCTAGATTGTCCAAGAACTTGAATGCAAAAACGATGTAAATACGTATAGACAACTTTGAAACAAGTATTGCTGTACTTACAGTACATACATTATCGTTGTTGATAACGATAGCTATCCTGTAACCCCACAATTCCAGGACTGTATTATCTTTTCGTGTATTAGCGTTATTTTCTATTACATTTTCGGCGTAATACACTGTTATACTACAGTTAGTTGTCAAGTTGTTGAGTACTATAAATGTGATATATCTTCCATAGATTATGGTTTCCTGTGTTCTAACATGTTTCCATTTTAACATTATATACGTATGTATTAGCATAACTACTATGTTGTAGTTTTTGATATTGTAATCAACGAGTTTCTAGTACACATGACCATTACTGAAATTTGCGTTTGTTTGATTGTTATCTATTTATCATTGTTGTTGGTTCCTTAGAAATATGTTTAGCACATACAGATTTCGTATGTATGATCACATTATAAACATACAACACTGTGAATCACAAGAACAAGAGGGTAAAGCTTTGTATTCGAAATATTTTTCTTTTTTGTAAAACGTTGATTTATTCCAAAGTTAATTGAGAAAAGTTTTATATCTGTACCAGGGTTGAACATTTAATTCAGATGAAGCAATTGATAGATGTTGTAGCAGGTACCAGCTTCTGTGGATTTCAATTCCACGTTTAAGATTCCAAATAAGCAGAGATGTGTAATTTGTGTTCATTCTTTACAGTATGGGTCTGATTTTTGTTCCTTTTTCATCTTGTGGGAATAAAGGACAAAATCACTTGATTCAGTTTCAGTAGAGTTTTGATTTTGTTCAGGTAATTCATTCATCATCACAGAAGATATGACTGGAATTGTATTGTTGGAAGTATATTGAGGTAGATCTTGTGAAAGATTTCTACCCATAAAAAAACAAACTATTCCAAATATAAAGAATAACAATCCCAAAGAAATCCCACAACTACCGGTGGCAACAACAGTCTCCAATATATCTGGTACAAATATTACAGCTCCTGCATTGCAGCTTGTTTTTGCATATTCGATTGCTTGAGCTCTTCCTCTAACTTGATCTATGAAATTACCATAAATAGTTCCATTGTGAGTATTTGTATTTTGTTGAGGAATTGCACAATAGAGACTATTAATGCCCTTCACTAAGACATTCAAGTCATAGGTTGATGTTGTAATATATGTTGCCTGATCTAAGGCATAATAACTATTATAAACCTCCAAACAACATGCATAAATATAGTTAGAGTAGTACAATTGGAAAGAATTTGGAATGTTTGAAACATTTGAAGTAATGTACATGACATTATTCACCACACTGAAACCAATAGACATGGGTATTAAAAAAGCAATTAAACAACCCAATCCCAAAATAAAAGACAAAATACCACTCTTCATATGAGTTGCATTTCGTTCTTGATTTGAATGTGGAATTCTCCAACATGTTGTTGGATAACTCATCTTTAAAATAACAATTAGTGGTGCTATTTGTATAGGTATTGTAGATACCACCTCTCCATCAGAATTTTCAATTGGTACAAATGTACCTGCCAGTTTCTGTTTATATTCTTCATCTCTATCTTGATAATAAGAATTGATTTCATTCCTTTGATAAATTCTAATAAAAATACACACTCCCAACAGAATTGTACCAATAAACAGTATAATACTGGGAGTAATTAGCATTTCTGATACAACATCTCTAGAAAGTGAGAATGCTCTCTCCACGGTTGCACCTTCACAACTGGTAGGTACTAACAATACTAGTAAAGAAATCATGATTTGAAAAATGGTATTCATTGTGTTGTTTTTTTAATGCATTCTAAATTGAATAGAGGTTGGAACTTTTCATTATCAACTGATAAAGTGGGTACATGGTTTCTATTTCAACTTTTATCATTATAATTGGTTGTTTTATTTTGAGTTGGTTTTGCTACACTGTTACATGTTATATCTAACAGTGAAATTGTTATTGTTACCTGTGACATTTTCTTCTCAATGAAACATTACAAAAATAACGCTTGAACAGATCCAAGAGGTAATCTTGTCAAATATTATTATAACTTGGATAATTAAACTTAATTATTTTTTATTTTCAAAATACCATTTAAATCTACCATTACTATATTTAATATAATTAAAATCTAAATTTGAATAAAAAGATTGACAACGTGCCCATAAACCCCAAAATAAATGTGATAATTGTGAAAATATTGGAATTAATTTAATAAAATTATTAATAATTTCATCATTTTCATTATTTTTTAAAATAAAATTTAAATAATATTTTAAAAATTCTTTTTGTTTTTCTATAGATGGATATAATTCTCTATTCATTTCAAATCCACAACATTCATTAAAAAAATTACCAATATCAAATCCAATATAATTATATGAACAATATTCACAATCAATAAAATGTATATTATTATTATTACTATTACTATTTATATTATTATTACCATTTATATCACTACTATTCATATTATTATTAGATACAATTATATTTAAAGAAACTAAATCATTATGACAAAATCCAATAGAAAATGGATTAATTAAATTAATATCATCATTTAACATTTTACAATTATTATTAAAATATAAATTTTTAATATTATTAACTTCAATTTCAATTAAATTTAAATCAAATTTAAATTCTTCTTCTTCTTCTTCTTTTAAATTATTATTTAAATTATTTTCATTTAAATATAATAATTTTAATTGATTTATCCAATTAAATA